CTAAAAACTAAATAACTATGCTTATCAAAAGTAAAAACGAAGAATTAAAGAAACAAATACTACTTCCATGTCGACGTACAAAGTCCTGAAAAAAAAAAAAAGAAATCACTATGTTTAAACACAATCCAAATGCCAGCCATTCACCCAAATGTTAAAGACAACTTCTAGTGCAACTAATTACGTATTAGTCAAGTAGAATTAAGATAAACATTAGCCAGAAACAGTAACTTAAAACAAATCTAGTATACTCAGGCTTATTTTTTGATATTCCTTCCCTTGTGTGCGTAATTTGCTATACTCGAGGTTTCCCCAAGTCAATGCACAGATTCTGGTGAAATTGTGGCTATGATAGATTATACAATTACAAGGTGAGAACTGTTTGGACAAATCAAAATACACCAGATTCAATTTTCCACATTTTCCACATTTGTATTTTCTGGTGTTGCTTCTGTTAATGTGAATTGCAATGGAAAAGAGAGAGTGCGACTGGCTGTAGGGAGAAAAAACAGAATGTCTAGACAAAAAGATGATATTATGACACAAAAGATGAAGAAAGAAAAGAAAACAATGTACTTCTCAAAAACACAAACTAATGCGTAAGAAAGATGGAGGAGACGGTCCATTTCCTATTCCCCTTAAAAGAGAAAAAAACTAAAGTTGACTGAGAATTTCCCAAAAAACAATTGAACAAACAGTTTTCAAAGGTGAAAGTATCCAATTAAATCTTGTCCTCTCCTAAAACTTTAGAACTAAACAAAACCACACAAAATATAAAATGTGAGTGCGTGTGTGTACAAGTTTACAATTCCAGAAAACAGAATCACAACTCAAATTGGGTGAAAAGGATTGACAGTGTAAGCCCGGATCCAAGAGCGAGAAGCAGCAAATGGCATTAACGGAAAAAAACCTGGGCAGGTTCTTTCACAAAACGAAAAAAGAAAAAAAAAGCCAAGGGGACATTTAAATTTTAGAATAAATAAATCATCCCTGCTTCTCTGGAACAATCCTATCGAATATATTCAGAGTATAAAATTATAAGATAAGAACTTTCAAGACATACCAAAATATAAGTAAACTCGTGCAACTAGTCTTGTGTGTTTCTGAGCCAGCCAAGTAAAAAAAAAAAAATCAATTTTCCACATTTGATCAACTCTTCACCCTCTGGGGCGTTGCTTCCTTAAGAAAAATTATAATGGAAAAGAGAGTATGAGCGGCTGCGAGGAGAAAAAATAGAATGTGTAGGCAAAAAGATGAAATTTTTTCTCCAAAGATGAAAGAACGGAAAGAGAAGAATTATCTAGATTTTTCCTTCCAGTAGATTAAAAATCTCACCCGCACTTGCTACAGTTGCCTTCATGCAAGGATTCCTTCTTGTTTCATTAATCCTCAAAAGCAACTCCAGGAATTTTCTCCAGGGGCAACAAATCAGTGATCTCCACATTGTAAAGCTCTAGAAAAGTGAATTTTACACTATACTATGCAAACTATTTGATTCCAATTAATTGAGGAATATCAGTATTCAATACTAAATATTGAGTAAAGATAACACACAAATGAAACTCCTTTGATCTTTTGCATAAGCATTCAATCCAAGATATAGCACAACTACAAGCATGTTTAAATGCAAATCCAAATTAAATTCAAGTCAATGCAATTAATTTTCCTAGTTTTCACACCAAAACTACAAATATGAACCATCAAGTTTCTATTTTCCACACAATCAAACGGAAAAAATTAAACCATTAACAGTAAACCAGAATCATGAATAAACTATCTAGATATTTCTAGCAGACTCTCATAGTAATAATAAAAGTAAAAAAAGATTTTTAAAAGAACAAAATGAACAAACAAAAAATATTAACGCAGACAATAGAACAAACGATAAAGTGAAATAACTTATGTTCAAGAACAAAAGATTACATAAATCAAACGAAATGGTGTTTGAATCCAAAACAAGGCCTTATTGAAGATGCATACCCTGTCAATGTGTTTCCCAAAAATATGAACTATAGTGTGATGGAGATGTCAGAGAAAGAACTGAAATTTGGCCAAGAACTTCCCCAAAAGATTTGAATATAGTTAACTCTTTTCTTCTACCAAACACTTTTGCATCAGAATTAAACAAAATCAGACAAAGAAAAAATGTTTACAACTCTATAAAACAGAATTATGAATCATAATTGGGTGAAATAGGGAGGCAGAGAGAGGGAGGGAGAGAGAGATTGTAGCTACACATTTGACGTTTCTCACTGTGAAGCTCTGAAAAGTTAACTTTTAACATTAAGTCCTCCTCATCCCACGCTGCGAAACCTACTTCTTCTTCCTTCGGTCCAGTCCCCAACAAATGACTCAATTTTCCTTTCCCTTTCAGAAAGTCCGAACCAATTGGGACCATTTTAAGTAGTTTCTGCCGTTCAGTCGATATGCCGAGTGGATGTTTTGTAACTCGCCTGTGGTACGAGATGTCTGCTCTTCTTCTGCTGACTGGGATGGTGGTGCTACATATGTAGATGATGTTGTCTCTGACATTCTTCAAGAATCAGCTATGAAGGCTGAAAAGAAAGAACTGGGTTGCAACATAAAGAGAAAAAATGGTAGATTATTGCCAGAAAGTGAGCAATGAAGGCACACCACAAAAAGAAAAGAAACGGGGGCAATGAAGGCCGGAATAGGTCAAAAACTTCCTAGAAAACCCTAAGCCTTACGGCTCTGATACAATGTGGGAAAAATGGTACTGATTTGTGAAAGGAATTCTTTGAATCGTTATTTCTGATAATAGATTACACAAGCCTCTATCAGACTATATACAGGGAATTACAATGAATCAAAAAAGGAATAAACTAAATTAGGAAATCCTATATTCTATAATCTTTGACTTTCTCTCAATCACATCCCTAAACACTAGGAAATAATTATTTACAGATTTCTAGCACTAGTCAGACCCTAATTGTAGGGAACCGTATTTTTCCACAAGAAGCAATCAGTTGTGGCACGCAGTAGTGCAGAAGCTGAATTTCGTGCCATGGCCCATGGTATTTGTGAAGGGATGTGGTTAAAAAGGTTGCTCGAGGAACTCCATTTCTTCCCTCATGCACCTATGAAGTTGTTGTGTGACAATCAAGCAGCAATCAATATTGCTAAGAATCCAGTTCATCACGATCGAACCAAGCATGTAGAGATCGAGCGCCACTTCATCAAAGAGAAGATAGAGCAAGGGGTCATAGAAGTGGATTACACTCCTACACGGCAACAGACTGCAGATATAATGACAAAGGCTGTTCCTAGAGCTCAGTTTGACATACTACTCTTCAAGCTAGGAATGATTAACATTCATTGCCCAGCTTGAGGGGGAGTGTGGAATTCCGAAGATATTAGGCAGTAATAGGCTGTAAATAGGAGATTTGCTAGGCTGTAAATAGCTATAGATTAGTTTCTATAAATAGCTGTTAGTTTCCTTTTTCTGTAGGATTTGACAGATTCAATCAAGGAATTACCAGGCTGTTGGTAATCTCCTCTTCTCTATAAATGTATATTTCGGCCATATGAATAAAGTAAGAAATTTCTCTATGATTTTCTTCAGTTTTCTCTGTCTGAAGCTGGTTTAGAAAGCTTCCAATCTGCAGGTTTGCCATGAATTTTCCAGCAATTGTCTCTAGTATGTCCAGTTTTTCTGCAGTTATCACACCAAGGTCTTCCTCTTCTTTATCGGTTGTCATTGTGATGCTGGATTCCTTGAGCAGCTAGGGCCGAATTTTGGTATGTGATGGCAATTGGCACTTCTCCCATCATCACCTTTTTCCTACTTTCTTCCTTTCGTACAACAGAAAACACTTCTCGGATGGTAGAAAGAGGCTTCATTCCCAGTATTCTTCCCCGAACCTCATCCAAGTTTTTATTGAGTCCCATGAGAAATTTGAATATTCTCTTTTTCTCAACAATTTGCCTATATCTTTTGGCATCATCAGAACATTTCCACACATGCTCCTTGAATACATCTAAGCATTGCTAATGGCGAGTAAGTACACCATAGTACTGAGTGACATAGAGATCCCCTTGACGAAGGTCGTGCAAATTAGTCTCGATCTCAAAAATTTTGGCCTTTTTTTCCTTGCTGGAGTGTAATTCCTTGGCTGCATCCCAGATCTCATGAGCCGTGCCATAGAGTAAGAAATTTTCTGCCTTCCAGCTTCTGTATTTTGGATTATCTGCTGTAGGAGGAATGATATCACCGGTAAGATAATTGTTCCCATTCAATTTGTGGCCTGTAATGGGAAGATGACTGATTTCCGTTCCACCATGGCTGCTGATATGGACGGAATCTGGTTTTGAAGTGACTTTAGAGGCGGATTCGGTTTGCTTATCAGTGGCCATACCGTATTTTGGCATATGGTGGAGACAGGATTTTAGAGGTTCAGAGAGTGCTCTGATACCATGAAGAGAATTGTGAATGAGACAAAGCAATTCTCATTAATTCTGAAAGGAGCAGTACACGGTTTTATACAGTGAAGAGAGAGTGAAAAACTGGAAGTAATTACAAAACAGGAAACTATCACTAATGAGGATTATGTCAAATCCCCCTTATTCTAGGAAACAGAATAAAACTATTTTAGGAAACAAAATCTGTGGAAAATTAGAGAAAATATTCTCTGGGATTATGGCCGGATATTGACTTTGAATAGGTTGATTGTGTATAGCTGTGAATATATGTACTTAGGAAGAATATTTGTATTTTAGGAAAGTAGACTGATTAGCTTATTTTAGGAAAGTAGATTGATTAGCTTGTTTCCTTTTCTCTGTTTGTTTCCTTAAATCAGTGATTGTGTTTTCTGATTTAATGGAGTTGTATTTCCTATAAATTGAATGATACAATAAGATGAAAATCATTCCCCTCACATATTATGTCTCTGCCGTGTTCTCTGTTTTTCTAATTTGGTATCAAAGCCAAGCTCTTTTCTTCTTGATTCCCCTTCTTCTCCTTTTGTTCTTCTCTTCATTACCCAATGTCAGAAACCTCTGCTGAGTCAAGCGGAAAACCCACCTTAGAAATCACCTCTGTTTCAAATCCGTCAAAATCCATAGGTACAACGGACTCTCATTCCGTTCAAATTACCACCATCCGTTTAAATGGTGATAATTTCCTATGTTGGTCGCAGTTGGTTCGTATGTATATCCGAGGTCGTGGGAAGATTGGATACTTGACTGGGGAAAATAAGGCTCCTGCGGAGAGTGATCCGACGTATGCTACTTGGGATGCTGAGAATTCCATGGTGATGACATGGTTGGTTAATTCGATGGAGGAAGACATTTGCTCTAATTATATGTGCTATCCAACTGCACAAGAGCTATGGGAGAATGTGAATCAAATGTATTCGGATTTGGGGACCCAATCCAAAATTTTTGAGTTGACTCTAAAACTCGGTGAAATAAGACAAGGGGAGGATAGTGTCACCAAGTATTTCAACTCTTTGAAATGGATATGGCAGGACCTTGATTTGTTTAACACCTACGAATGGAAGTCTGCTGAAGATGGTCGCCATCACAAGAAGGTGGTGGAGGATAACCGAATTTTTAAGTTTCTAGCAGGTCTCAACATTGAGTTTGATGAAGTAAGGGGGAGAATCATAGGACGACAACCACTACCTCCTATTGGTGAAGTACCTCCTATTGGTGAAGTATTCTCAGAAGTTAGGAGGGAGGAGAGTCGGAGGAATGTGATGCTGGGAAAGAAGGGACCGAATGCTGTGGTTGAAGAATCTGCTCTTGCTGCCATGGGAGAGAACTCAAGTAGGCCCTATCAGCGGAGAACAGGTGATCAGCAAAGGAGTGAGGATGGCTGGAGCAAAAATCTGACATACCAACGCCAAGACAAATCTCGGCTTTGGTGTGACTATTGCAGCAAGCCCCGCCACACCCGGGAGACCTGTTGGAAGATCCATGGCAAACCGGCAAATTTGAAGGGACCCAAGCTCATTGAGAAAACAGGTTATGCAGCCTCCAGCACAAAAGAAACTGATTCCAGCCCCTTCACAAAAGAACAAATGGAGCATCTCCTTGCACTACTAAAATCCAATTCCTCATTTCGTACTCCTATGTGTCTATTGCACACACAGGTAAAGAAATTGCTAGAATGAATGCTCTTTTGTGTTTCTCAACACCATGGATAATAGATTTTGGTGCTTCTGACCATAGGGCTTGTCACAGAAAAGGACTCAGTTTTTCTGTTATTCATCAATAAACATATTACACGGTATTATATAGCTAATTACAGGAGAAAGAATAGGAAACCAAATCATTCCTAAATCAGGAAACTACCTAATCCTACCTAACCCGAATCCCTTAAATCAAGGGATTTCTAACTAATTCTCCTAATCTATTTACAACCCATTTACACGTCAACACTCCCCCTCAAGCTGAGGAATAGATATCTTCAATTCCCAGCTTGAATACAAGATCATGGAAACTCGAACTGTTCAGCCCCTTTGTTAGAACATCAGCTAATTGTCGTCCTGATGGAACATAGGACATACACACTAATCCTTCCTCCAATTTCTCTTTGATAAAGTGTCGATCAATTTCAATATGCTTTGTCCTATCATGTTGTATAGGATTATGAGCAATATTGCTGGCTGACTTATTATCACAATAGAGCTTCATAGGACCTTCCCATTTGATTTTCATATCATCTAGAATAATCTTTAGCCAAAGCAGTCCACACAATCCTTGAGCAATGGCCCTGAATTCTGCTTCTGCAGATGACCTTGCCACCACGTTCTGCTTCTTGCTTCGCCATGTTACCAGATTGCCTCCAAGAAGAGTACAATACCTTGTAGTTGATCTTCTATCCACTAGGGAACCTGCATAGTCAACGTCAGTGTAGGCTTCTAGAGTAAGGGTATTGTTCCTTTTGAACAAAATTCCTTTCCCTGGATTGCCTTTCAAGTAATGTAGTACCCTGTAAGCAGCTTGAAGAATAGGTTCTCTTGGGTCATACATGAATTGACTGATCACGCTCACGGAGTATGCTATGTCTGGCCGAGTGTGAGCAAGGTATATGAGTCTACCAACCAACCTCTGGTACATTCTTTTATCGACAACTGGTTCTTCTTTAGCTTCTCCCAACTTATGGTTCGGATCCATTGGAGTAGAGACTGGCTTACACCCAATCTTTCATGTTTCTACTAATATATCAGTCACGTACTTTTGCCGAGATATGAAGATCCCTTGTGTGGAATATGCTACCTCAATACCGAGTAAGTACTTCAGTTTCCCCAGCTCCTTTATCTCGAACTCTCTTACTAAATCTTTGCTTCAGTTCATGCTTCCCTCTTTCATCATTTCCAGTCACTATGATGTCGTCCACATAGACTAGAAGAGCAGTCACTCCCCCAGCAGCCGAGAGTGCTTAATGAAGAGAGTGTGGTCTAGGAGATTGCTTTAACCCATAAAGGGCCTTTCTCAGCTTGCACACTTTGTTACTTGTGTCCCCCTCAAATCCCGGTGGAATATTCATGTAGATTTCTTCATCTAAGTCACCATGAAGAAATGCATTCTTGACATCATACTGTAGTAGCTACCAATTGAAATGAGCCGCCAATGATAGCAAAATTCTCACAGTATTCATTTTTGCGACTGGAGCGAAAGTCTCCTGATAATCCACTCCATAAGTTTGAGTGTATCACTTGGGCACCAATCTTGCTTTATATCTCTCAAGAGATCCATCAGCCTTGTATTCAGTGTGAAAATCCACTTGCAATCAACAACATTTTTCTCTCTTGGTTTATCAACAATCTCCCATGTTCTATTCTTTTCTAATGCACTCATCTCCTCTCTCATAGCCTCCCTCCATTCCCCTTTTGACAATGCCTCAGAAACAATATTAGGGATAGCAATGGTGTTTAAACTCACAATGAACTTTTTGTGGGCTGATGACAGGCGCTTAAGGGAGACATAGTGAGATAGTGGATAGATTGGATGTTTAGTACACTCTCGGGTACCTTTTCTGACAGGAATAGGAAGGTCGAGGTCATCTGTTGGATCAATGGATGTTTCAACCGGTTGTGTGTGTAAGGGTGGATTAGGTCTTACCGTGATCTCATTCCCAGAGCCTGAGTTGGATTCTTGGACTTATGGCGGTTCTGGAGCAGCCTTTCTCCTTGAATACACTTGAGAGAACCTTAGAAAATTGTGAGTGACGCTGGCTGGGACAGGAGGGACGCTGGCTGGGACAGGAGGTGACACGGGTTCAGTGACAGAATGGGGTGACTCAGAAGTGGTTGGCTCAGAGGACTCTAGTTCAACAACACGAACTGGAAGACGAGCAGGAACTTGAGGAAGATTAAGAGTTTTAGGGGTTCAAATGACTCACAAGGACTATCTTCCATTATTGGAATCTCCCCCTGAAGAGAGGACTTGGAGAAGAAAGGTTTATTTTCTGTGAAAGTGACATCGGTAGAGATGTGGAATTTTCTAGATGAAGGGTTGTAACACTTGTACCCCTTTTGAGTGGATGAGTAACCAAGGAAGACACATTTGGTGGCTCGGGGATCTAGCTTGCCTCTATGTTGGCTATGGACATGGACAAAGGCAGTGCATCCAAAGACACGTGGTGTGAGACCATTTGAGGTTCTAAAGTGAGGATTGAAAGTATTGAGGATTTCTATGAGACTCTTGTTTTCTAACACACGTGAGGGAAGTCTATTAATCATGTATGTGGCTGTAACAACTGCCTCTCCCCAATAGGACTTAGGAACATTCCCTTAAAAGAGTAAATGCCCATTTGTAAATGCCTCTCCCCAAGGGAAGTCTATTAATCGGGTGGTGTTTTGTAAATGCCCATTTTTCCTCTTAGCTACCCCATTTTGTTGGGGTGTGTTAACAGGATGAATCATGAATAATGCCTTGTGATTGAAAGTAGGGTGACAAAATTTGATTGAAGTAGTCTCTAGCATTGTCTGTCCTAAAGCTTATTTTAACCCCAAACTGGTTTTGAACCATTGAGTGGAAATTAGGTATAACAATACTCACATCAGATTTTTGTTTTAGAAGGAAGAGCCATGTAACCCAAGTGCAATCATCAATCAAAGATACAAACCAACGAGCCCCGGAAATATTAGGTATAGTAGAAGGACCCCATATGTCACTATGAATCAAATGAAAAGGATGAGAACTTTTATTGCTAATAGGAAAAGATACACGAGTATTTTTGCCAGTTCACAAACATCACAATGAAACTCAGAAATATCTAATCCTTGGAATAAATGAGGAAACATGACTTTTAAAACCCTAAAAGATGGATGACCTAGGCGTAGGTGATACAACCAAATGGCATCCTTATTTGAGGAACTGAGAAAAGACAGACACATTGCTCCTAATTTTCTGAGATGATTCAAGATGATAAAGGCCGCTCCTTTCCTTAGCAAGTCCAATCCTCCTCCCCAAGCCCTGATCCTGAAAAACACAATAAGAAGGGAAAAAAGTAGCACAGCATTTAAGGGCATTGGTAAGTTTTTGAATGGACACAAGGCTGGCCGACAGTTTTGGTACATGGAGGACATTTTTAAGGATAAGGGTGGGTGTGCTATGGATATCTCCGGTCCCTGCAACAGTGGCTAAAGAACCATTGGCCACTATAATTTTTTTGTTACTCGGGCATGGGGTGTAGGTGTGGAAGAGTTGAGATGTGGGAGTCATATGGTCTCTGGCACCTGAGTCTATTATCCAAGAGTTAACATAGAATGTTTCTGAGGCATTCATGCAAAATGGAATGGAATGTTTACCTGAAAGAGCTAAGGAACAGGTCCCTGAAGGCTTATCAAGTAGTGATCCTAACAAGCTCCTTAATTTCTCAATTTCTTCCTTGTTGAACCCCCCGGTTGTTGAATTTTCCTCAGTTTTGGGTTGCTCGGCTATGTGTGCTTGAGGCCTTTGCTGACCCCACGGTTGCCCCACTCTCGGCTTGGGGGCTTACCATTCAGCTGCCAACACGTCTCTTTCATGAGCCTTGATTTCTTACAATAGGTGCACCAGAGATTGTCCTTGTTCTCCTTCCACTGATTTTCTCTACCTGGGTGTTTAGGCGGATCACCCTTTCCTTTCTCCTGGTGATCTGTTTTTGCTACTAAGGCTGACTGGTCCATGGTTGGTTGTTCAAGCATAATACTCCTTCGGCTTTCTTCCGCTCGGATCAGTGAGATTGTCTCTTCTAGAGACAATGTGTTCCCCTTGCCAATGATTTGAACCCTCACTTGATTGAATTTTGGATTCAATCCAGCCAAGAAATCGTATGTCCGATCTCTTTCAATGAAGTTCTTCAAAATGGTAGCATCCTCAGTGACACATGTATGTTCTTGACTAATGCAAAGCAAATTTGGTATTTTATCACTCGGTAATGGTCCAGTTCTTGCCACAGATTTTGCAACAGGTTTGCATATTCTGTGACAGATTTGTCTCCTTGTTTAGTGGGTGCATCATCACGAGCCTTCGAATATATGCGGTGAATATAATACCAAATTTGCTTTGCATTAGTCAAGAACATACATGTGTCACTGATCGTTGGATCCATGGAGTCCCATAGCCATGACATAATCATGGAGTCTTCCTCGTCCCATGCTTTCAAAGGCTGGATCCGTCATTTCTGGCCCCTTTCCAAGCAGGTGATTAAGTCTCCCCTTACCCTTTATGTGCGAACAATTTGGGTCCATTTGAGGTAGTTCTTCCCATTAAGCCTATTGGAGGCTCGGATATTCTGCAAGTCTCCGGTTTTCTAAACATAATTGACTTGTTCGGATGGGTTGCTAGAGATGGTGGTTTCTGAGGTTGACATGATGAAGGAAGAATAATAAGGAATGGCAGCGATGAAGGCTAAATCGCAACAATTAAGGGTGCCCGAACAGGGATTATTGACGGGAAAATAAGAAGGAATGGCAGCGATGAAGGCTGGAATACGCAGAAAAAGAACCCAGACACGCAGCAATGAAGGCTGCTCGAGAAGAGAAAGAAATCCCAGAAAAGAAAAAGCCCTAGGTCTCTGATACCATGTCACAGAAAAGGACTATGTTTTTCTGTTATTCATCAATAAACATATTACACGGTATTATATAGCTAATTACAGGAGAAAGAATAGGAAACCAAATCATTCCTAAATTAGGAAATCAGGAAACTGCCTAATCCTCTGCCTAACCCAAATCCCTTAAATCAAAGGATTTCTAACTAATTCTCCTAATCTATTTACAACCCATTTACACGTCAACATGACTAATGCCTCAAATCATTCCTAAATCAGGAAATCAGGAAACTGCCTAATCCTCTGCCTAACCCAAATCCCTTAAATCAAAGGATTTCTAACTAATTCTCCTAATCTATTTACAACCCATTTACACGTCAACATGACTAATGCCTCAAATTTGTTCAATTCTTATATCCCATGTTCGGGTAATGAAAAAGTTAGAATTGCATATGGGACTTTCTCGTCGATTGCAGGTACACGATTAATAAAAATCCCATAAAGAATAGATCTTAAATCTGTTCTTCATGTTCCAAAACTTTCCTGCAACCTCTTGTCCGTCAATAAATTATCTAAAGACTAACTGTCAAATTACATTCTTCGAATCCCACTGTGTTTTTCAGGACTAGAGCTCGGGGATGACGATTGGCAGTGCTAAGATGGTAAATGGCCTTTACTACTTTGAAGACAATCTACCTAGGAATAAAAAAGCTCAGGGCTTGGGTTGTGTTAGGTCTTCTTCTATTTATGAACAAATTATGATTTGGCATTACCGGTTGGGGCATCCCAGTTTTTTCTATCTAAAACACTTGTTTCCATTATTGTTTAAGAACATTGATCCTACGGTTCTTTATTGTGAAAGTTGTTTATTGGCTAAAAGTCATCGTAAAACTTATGTTCCAAGGTTTTATCGCCCCTCAAAACCTTTTTTGTCTCTTTCATAGTGATGTTTGGGAACCTTCCAAGATTACTACCATTTCACAAAAAAGATGGCTTGTAACATTCATAGATGATCATACCCGACTTTGTTGGATTTTTTTGATGAAAGAAAAAAGTGAAGTTGAAAGTGTTTTCAAAAATTTTTACAAAATGATTGAAAATCAATTTCAAACAAAAATAAGCATACTACGTTTTGACAATGGAACATAATATTTCAATAGTATGTTAGATGCTTTTCTAAAAGAAAAGGAATTTTTCATCAATCCTCATGTCATGACACCCCACAACAAAATGGAATAGCTGAGAGAAAAAATAAGCATTTACTTGAAGTTGCTCGTGCTATAATGTTTTATATGAATGTCCCAAAATATCTTTGGGGAGATGCAATTTTAACTTCGGCATACCTTATCAACAGGATGCCTACACGGGTTTTGCAATACATCACCCCATTAGAATGTCTAAAAAAAGGGTTTCCAGATTCAATACTAAACAATGATTTACCCTTTAGAGTCTTTGGGTGAACGGCTTATGTCCATATACCTAAGAGGTCTAGGTCTAAATTAGATCCTAGGGCTGAGAAATGTGTCTTTGTCGGGTATGCCCCAAATCAAAAGGGGTAAAGGTGTTTTAATCCTCAAACAAAAAAGTACCATGTGACCATGGATGTTACCTTTTTAGAGAAAACTCCTTATTTCACCAAAAAAGTACCATGTGACCATGGAAAGGAATGAAGACAATTTTTGGTAGAAATCCGAACCTTTACCTCACATGATTTTTGATACTCTTAATCCTTTCTTGATTATGAGAAGACCCAAACTGTTGACGATGAATCTGACGTTGTTCCAATAGAAAAAGAAACACTACTAAAGGATCAAAATCAGAATCTGAAACCTGATCTTCTGGTTTATTCTAGGAAGAAAGTCTTCGAAAAAAATAAGGGACATTCTACTATCCCTGCATCAAATCAATCGAAATCTTCGAGTACTAGAACTGAGTCTGCTACAGGTAACCCTTCTTCTATTTCTACTTTAACTCCCAATCCAGATTTTGATATTCCAATAGCTCTCAGAAAAGGAACCCGAGCCTGTACTAAACATCCTATCTCTAAATATGTTTCCTATGAAAAGCTTTCCAAAACTCAGAGCATTTACTTCTAATATTTCTAAACTTGTTGTGCCAAGAAACATTCAGGAAGCATTAGATGATCCAAATTGGAAGGCAACAGTGATTGAGGAGATGGATGCCTTGAGGAAGAATGAAACTTGGGAAATAGTTGACTTGCTGAATGAGAAGAAAACAGTTGGGTGTAAGTGGGTTTTTACAGTCAAATGTAAGCCTGATGGCAGTATAGAGAGTACAAGGCTAGACTTGTTGCAAAGGGTTTTACACAAACCTATGGGATAGACTATCAAGAGACTTTCGCCCCAGTTGCTAAAATCAACTCTATTCGTATCCTCCTGTCTCTTGCCGTTAACTCTAATTGGCCGTTATACCAACTAGACGTGAAGAATGCATTTCTCAATGGTGAACTCGAAGAAGAAGTTTTTATGAGTCCTCCACCAGGTTTCGAAAAAGGGTTCAGAGAAGGTAAAGTTTGCAGCTTAAAAAGATCTTTATATGGGCTCAAGCAGTCTTCAAGGGCCTAGTTTGAACGATTTGGGGAAGCAGTGAAGCGACATGGAAATTGCCAAAGTCAGGCAGACACCACCATGTTCTACAAAAGATCAAAAGAAGGAAAGATAGCTATTTTGATTGTTTATGTTGATGATATAATCCTGATAGGTGATGATAGCTTGGAACTAAAAAATATGAAGGAAAGATTGGCAGCCGAGTTTGAGATTAAAGATCTAGGGGTGTTAAAGTATTTTCTTGGAATGGAGTTTACAAGATCCAAGGAGGGCGTATTTTTCAACCAACGCAAGTATGTTATAGATCTTCTTAAAGAAACAGGGATGCTCGGTTGTAAGAGTGCTGACACACCGATAGAACCCAACTTGAAACTACAACCTGCTAAAGCTGAAAAGGTGATCAACAGGGAACGTTATCAAAGATTAGTAGAAAGATTGATTACTTATCACATACAAGGCCATATATTGCCTTTGCGGTTAGCATGGTGATAAGTAATTCTGATATCATTAGCAGCCCACTTTAACTGGCAACTTCTATAGTATGATGTTAAAAATGCATTCTTACATGGCGACCTAGATGAAGAAATCTATATGAGTATTCCACTGAGATTTGAGGGAGACACACGTAACAAGGTATGCAAGCTGAGAAAGGCCCTTTATGGGCTAAAACAATCCCTAAAACAATCCACTAGAGCATGGTTTGGGAGATTTGCTAAAGTTATGAGAGAATCAGGATATAAACAAAGCCAAGGTGATCACACTCTCTTCATCAAACATTCGGCCGTAGGGGGTGTGATTGCCCTTCTTGTCTATGTTGATGACATTATAGTGACTAGGAATGATTAGAGGGAGAAACTTGATTTGAAGCAGAGACTAGTCCAAGAGTTTGAGATAAAGGAACTAGGGAAACTGAAGTATTTCCTCAGTATTGAAGTGGCATATTCTACACGAGGGATTTTCTTATCTCAACAAAAGTATGTGGCTGATGTATTGAAGGAGACAGGGAAGATTGGGTGTAAACCGGTGTCCACCCCAATGGATCCAAATCAAAAGTTGGGGGAAGCAAAAGAAGAACCAACAGTTGATAGACGAATGTACCTAAAGAATTAAATGAAGAATATAATTCTTTTAATTGATTTAGAATAGTACAGAAGCTGAATATATATACAAGAAGGCGGCATGATCTGCTGCCTTATTCTAAGGAAATAATACTGATTTCTAGCCTAATCTGATCAAGAAAATATCAGGAAATATTTCTTGATTTCCTAAATTAACTAAATAAGGAAAGTTTGACAAATCAAGGCTAATCTACAGCTTGTCACAGCTGGAGCAAGGCTGTACAATCCAGAAGGTGATGCAGTCCAATCCGGATTTTCAACACTCCCCCTCAAACTGGGTAATAGATGTTAATCATACCTAGTTTGATATTTAAATCCTCAAAGTTTGATCTTGGAAGAGCTTTGGTTAGAATGTCGGCTGTCTGGCATTTCGTTGGCATGTATTGTAGAAAAATTTCTCCATCTTCTATCTTCTCTTTGATGAAATGGCGGTCAATTTCCACATGCTTGGTCCTGTCATGATGAACTAGATTCTTGACAATGCGGATTGTAGCTTGATTGTCACAGAACATTTGTAAAGGCTCTTCATATAGGATTTTGAGTTCCTTCAAGAGTCTCTTAAGCCACATTCCTTTGCAAATTCCATGTGCCATAGCTCTGAACTCAGCTTCTGCACTGCTTCTTGAAACCACTGTTTGTTTCTTACTTCTCCAAGTGACAAGGTTTTGCCATATGAAGGTGCAATACCCTGATGTGGATCTTCGATCAGTAACTGAGCCTGCCCAGTCTGCAAGATTTCTATTCTCCTGTTTGTGTTCTTCTTAAAGTATAAGGCTTTGCCAGGAGTCATCTTGAGATATCTCAGAATTCGATAAACAGCCGTCATATGCTCTTTCATGAGATTATTCATGAACTGGCTCACAACAGTCACTGAAAAACTAATGTCAGGCCTAGTGTGGTAGATCAGTTTCCCGACGAGTCTCTGATATCTTCTCTTGTCAACTGCTGTATCATTCTCCCCAAGTGCTAATTTAGTGTTCGGATCCATAGGCGCATTTGCAGGCTTGCATCCGAGCATTCCAGTTCGGATCCATAGGAGATCTAGGACATATTTTCGCTGAGAGACCGATATTCCATCTTTTGTTCGAGCCACTTCCATTCCTAGAAAGTAGTTGAGGGTTCCTAGGTCTTTGATCTCGAACTCTTTTGCAAGGATGTTCTTCAGTCTTTTCATTTCTTCTAAGAAATCCTATAAGGACAATGTCATCGACGTAGACAATGAGAATGGATGACTCCCCTCTTCTTGATCGCTTGATAAAAAGAGTATGATCCGCCTAACACTGTGCGTACCCAAATCTCTTTACGGCCTTACAAAATCGGTCGAAGCAAGCTCAAGGTGACTATTTTAGTCCATACAATGACTTCTTGAGTTTGCAGAGTTTATTATTTGTTGCTTGACTCTATGTATACTTCTTCTTCGAGGTCACCATTGAGGATGGCATTCTTGACATCTAGCTAGAATAGTGGCCAGTCTAGGTTAGCTGCAAGGGATAGGAGAACTCTTACAGTGTTGAGTTTAGCAACCGGGTCAAATGTTTCTTGGTAATCAATCCCTTTGCAACTAGTTTGGCTTTGAATCGTTCCACACTTCCATCTAACTTGTGTTTTATCGTGAATATCCATTTGCAACCCACTGGTCGTTTTCCTTGTGGCAAGTCAACTATCTCCCATGTATTGTTCTTTTCTAAGGTCCAAACTTCTTCCATAATAGCTGCCTTCCAATGTGGTATCTCAATGGCTTCATGAATGTTGTTGGGAACCTGTATCTTGTCAAGATTGGAGACAAAAACGCGATATTCTAGAGATAATCTTTTGTAAGACAAGAAGTTATAAACATGATGATTTGTGCAGGATCTCACTCCTTTTCTTACGGCAATGGGCCGATTATCATGAAGCTCGAGAGTGGAAGAGTCAGGTTGGGAGTTACCTTGTGTTACTGTTGGAGGACTTGGAGTTGGTTCTGACTCTTGGACTTGCTGAGGGAGTGCTTATTGTTCTATCTCCTTTAGATGCCATTTCTTTCTGGAATAAACACGGAGCTCACTATTTTTAGCAGGAGAATGGTGTGATGGAAATTTGTGTAGTAACTGTGGAAATAAGGAAACGTGTTAGGAGAATAAGTTAGGAGATTTAGTTATTTAGTTTCTTTATTTAGAAAAGATTAGATTTTATTTAGTTGTGGTCTTACCGAAGTTAGGAGATTGTAATCTAGGTTAGTTATTATTTTATTTTTAGAATTCCTGATTTGTAGGAATTCAGTTTCCTATTTTGGAGGTCTGGTATGCCAGCCCTTAGTCTATATATTAGGATGTAAATTATTGTTTCAATTCAATGAAGAAAATTCACGATTTCTTCATGGTATCAAAGCTGGTTTTCTAAGCCCTAGCTCCTGCGTCCTCTTCTTCATTCTTCTGGCCGACTCTTTTCCATGACCAAATACGGCATGGCGTTTCAATCGACTTCCTTGGAAGTGACTTCCAGACCCGAGCCCACTCCTGCGGTTTCCACCAATCACAAACTGAATGGCCAAAATTTTCTGCAATGGTCTCAGTCTGTATTTATGTTTGTGTGCGGCAGAGGCAAGGATGGATATCTCACTGGTGAAGCTGCTGCTCCAGAGGCCACGGATCTAAAATTTTGTTCATGGAAGATTGATGATCATCTTGTAATGTCATGGTTAATAAACTCTATGACCACTGAAGTTGGAGAGAACTTTCTGCTCCACAGGACAGCCAAGGAAATATGGGAGGCTGCCCATGAGACTTATTCCAGCACAGAGAATACCTCAGAATTGTTTGAGGTTGAGACACGGCTCTACAATCTGAAACGGGGAGACATGAGTGAGACGCAGTACTTCAACATGCTTACTCGTTATTGGTTGCAGTTGGATCTGTATGAGACCTATCCGTGGAAGTGTGATGATGATTCATCAATTTATCGGCAGATTGTTGAACAAAAACGAACTATAAGGTTTCTTCTTGGCCTGAACAAAGACCTAGATGAAGTCAGGGGGAGAGTTATGGGAATTAAATCCTTTCCCACCATTCGGGAAGCATTTGCAGAGGTCCGAAGGGAGGAGAGCAGGAAGAAGTTAATGCTGCCCGAACCCAACATCACCCCTGCAGTAGAAGAATCAACCTTATATACTCACGGTTCTTCACAGAACAATAGGGCTGGAAAGGGTCGTCCATGGTGTGATCATTGCAAGAGACTTGGACACGTGAAGGCAACCTGCTGGAAGTTACATGGAAAACCTACTGATTGGAAGCCCTTCAATCACCAGGACAGAATCTCGTGCCAATGCTGCTGCTTCCACATAAACCAGTGCAGAAAATAGTCCGTTTACAAGGGAGCAAATTGAGGCACTGCAGAAGATGTTTAGTCAGTCTCCTAGTTCCAACCAAACACCTTCATCCAATGTCGAATAGCATACTAGCCTCCTAGCACATCAAGGTACACTGTCTCCTGCCTTTAGTCTTCAAAATAATCAGCCAAGACCATGGATAGTTGATTCGGAAGCCTCATACCATATGACTGGAGATTTCAGTATTCTAATGGATTTTCAGCCTTCCTCTCTAATCACTCGGGAGTCAGAATTGCAAATGGCACAATTTCCCCAGTTGCAGGAACCGGATCTGTTCGTATAATAGAGGACTTACAACTTTCATATGTTCTTTATGTTCCAAAGTTGAACTGCAATTTATTTTCCATCAGTCAAATCACTCGGGATCTCAATTGTCTCACTAAATTACATTCTAATTCTTGTGTTTTTCAAGCAGTGGATTCGGGGAAGGTGATTGGTAGTGCTGATATGCATGGAAGACTTTACTTGCTCAAACAAAAGAACCTCCCAAGTAAACAAGTTCATCAATCAAGTTGTGTCTTCGAGTCGGTCAAGTTTGCTTCTAATTTTGTGCATGTTTCCAATTCTAATTCTGTGTCTGTTTACAATTCTAATTCTGTCCCAGTTGAGAGTTAAGTCATGTTGTGGCATTATCGCCTTGGTCATCCAAATTTTGCTTATATTGAAAAATTGTTCCCTCATTTGTTTATCAATAAAAATTTCAGTTTTTGTCAGTGTGAAATTTGTCAATTAGCAAAGCATACCCGACATGTATACTCAAGTCTTCAATACAAGCCGTCACATCCTTTTTCAGTAATCCATAGTGATATTTGGGGGCCATCACGAGTGAAAAATATCAATGGGACTAGGTGGTTTGTCACGTTTATCGATTATCACACAAGAACCACTTGGACCTTTCTCATGAAAGAAAAATCCGAAACAGCCACAATTTTTCAATCTTTTCATACCATGATTTTAACCCAGTTTAAAAGCCATATCTAGGTTCTCAAAACTGACAATGCCAAAGATTATTTCAACTCCATTCTCGGCTCTTACTTGTCAAACCATGGAATTGTTCACATCAGTTCTTGTGTGGACACTCCACAACAAAACGGAGTGGCTGAAAGAAAAAATAGACACTTACTGGAAGTAGCCCGTGCCAATATGTTCACAAATAATGTCCTTAAACATTTTTGGGGGGAGGCTGTACTTATAGCCACCTATCTCATCAACAAGATGCCAAGCCGTGTCTTGAAATTCCAAACACCTCGTCAAGTCCTCACCACAATACACCCTCACATTCTTACTTTTACCTCTGATCTTCCCCTTAAAGTCTTTGGCTGCACTTCCTTCGTCCATATTCATCACAATCATTGCACCAAACTCGATCCAAAATCACTCACGTGTATATTCCTTGGTTACTCCTCTCATCAAAAAGGTTATAAATGTTACTCTCCTCTTACCAGGAAAGTCTACAATTCCATGGATGTCACCTTCTTCGAGAGTCATACTTTCCCAAATCCGACATTCAGGGGGAGAGTTCCAAGGAATATCAGATTTGGGATCTTCTTCATGACAATCAATCCATGTTTGTAAATTCCAGTTCAGCCACTGTTCCTGCTCCAGCCGAACAGTCTTTAAATCCCAGTTCAACCACTGTTCCTGCTCCTGTTCACAACCCTGCCACTGTTCAATCCGTTCCTAGTCAGCCTACCACAGAAACAGCCCAAAATCCATTGCAACTTGATACTACTAATAACATTGAACTTCGTGTCTACAGAAGGAGAAGAACAACTGAGCAAACTGAAGAACCAGTGCTTTCAATCACAAGAACCAAATCCTACTGTATCTGACACTCACAATGGTATGGATTCCTCTCCTCCTTATACTCATGCTCCTATGATTAATGATTCAGATCTGCCCATTGCTTATAGGAAAGGGGTCCGTGGATGCACTGAACATCCAATTCAGAGATATGTTGCATATGGAAAACTGTCTCCATCCTACAAGGCATTTGTCACAAATTTGGATAGTGTCAAAATGCCTGAATCTATTCAGGAGGCTCTTATGAGGCCGGAATGGAAGAAAGCAGTAGAAGAAGAGGTTCGGGCCTTAGAAAACAACAACACCTGGGTCCTGACACCATTACCACCAAGTAAAAATGCGGTTGGGTGCAAGTGGATTTTCACTGGCAAGTACAAGGCTGATGGAAGTGTAGACAGGTTCAAGGCGAGACTTGTGGCAAAGGAGTTCACTCAATCCAACGGAATTGACTATCAAGAGACTTGCACCGGTGGCCAAACTAAACACAATTCGAGTGTTACTCTCCTTGGCAGTAAATCAAGATTGGCCACTATATCAGCTTGATGTCAAGAACGCATTCTTGAATGGAGATCTTGAAGAGGAAGTCTACATGATCATACCTCCTGGACTAGAAAACAGGTCAAATCGAAAATTAGTGTGCAAATTGAAGAAGTCATTGTATGGCTTGAAGCAGTCTCCTCGTGCATGGTTTGACAGGTTTGCTAGAACTTTGACAGACAATGGGTACTTGCAGTGTCAGGCAGATCACACACTGTTTGTTAAAGGTGGATCAGGAGGAAAAATGGCCATTCTCATAGTCTACGTGGATGACATTATTCTAATTAGAGATGTTTCAGAAGAAATTCTTAGGCTGAAAAAGGTAATGGCAATTGAATTCGAGATCAAAGACGTCGGGACACTGAAGTACTTTCTCAGAATGGAGGTGGCTCGATCAAAGGAGGGGATTGTTATATCCCAAAGGAAGTATATCCTAGATTTGTTGAATGAAACAGGGTTTCTTGGTTGCAAACCTGTTGATACGCCAATGGACTCTACAAAGAAAATGAATTGAAGCGAAGAAAGTATGCCAGTTGACAAGGGGAGGTATCAAAGACTGGTTGGAAAGCTCATTTCCCTCTCACACACTCGACCTACCATTGCTTATTCGGTGAGTGTGGTCAGCCAACATATGAATAATCCAACGGAGGATCATTTAGATGCAGTGAATAGAATTTTGAGATACTTGAAGATGACTCCCGGACATGGTTTACTCTTCAAGAAGAGTGATAGCCGTGAAGTAGAAATCTACACGGATGCAAGTTGGGCAGGAGAAACAAACTGATAGAAGGTCAACTGCTGGCTACTGCTCTTTGGGGGAATCTAGTCACTTGGAGAAGCAAAAAACAGGCTGTGGTTTCCCGTAGCAGTGCAGAATCGGAATACCGAGCTCTTGCCCTTGGTATATGCGAAGGAATGTGGTTACAGAGATTGTTAAGAGAACTCAAGGTTGAAGTTCAAGCCTCGGTGAAGATGTTTACTGACAGTCAGGCTAAGAATCCGGTGCATCATGATAGGACGAAACATATTGAGATTGATCGTCATTTTATCTCTGAAAAGGTGAACACGTCATTCAGCTCAGCTATATTCCTACAAGACAGCAGATTGCCGATGTCCTCACCAAAGCACTTCCAAGAGTCAGTTTCGATGAGTTGAACTCCAGGCTTGGTTTGTATAACATATACAACCCAGCTTGAAGGGGAGTGTGGAAATAAGGAAACGTGTTAGGAGAATAAGTTAGGAGATTTAGTTATTTAATTTCTTTATTTAGAAAAGATTAGATTTTATTTAGTTGTGGTCTTACCAAAGTTAG